AGCTTCGACGAATGTGTTTTTGGCCTTGTGAGCAAGAAGCAGATCAATGCAGGCACCGCCCAATCTCCACAGCCTGAGATAACAGATGAGCTATAGTCCCCTCTTAATATATAGTCCAGTTTAGACTATACGGCACTTCAGATATGTTCAGATAGTGTTAACTGAACGCTGAGGAGATCCATCCCTGCTGAATCGACAGAAGCAGTCCGCAGCAAGCTAAAGGAACAGCTCCCAGCACCGCACTGCGGAAGAGGAGGAGGACGGTAGCAATGAGCCACAGCTCCCAGGTACGTGCATCTGACCAGGACATGTGCAAGGGCACCAGAACCAAAGAAGAGAATTGAGCCCAGAAGTGCTTCGCCTTGCAAAGCACTGCCAGCTCCGCAAACATCATGCAGAGGAACGAGACAATATATCTCCCGAAAAAGCCCAGGCGTCGCTTGCTCTGCTCTGCCGCATAGTAATCATTGCCAGCATTCTCAACAAGCACGCATACTGCTCGGCAAGTGTCTGGCAGCGAGAGTGCCAGACTTAGGCCGGCACTGGCAGACAGCGTAATGCTGCTTGACAGCGAAGCGCTGGATATGTCCATGTTGAGGAGCGCATAGCATTGAACGATTGTGGCACCAGCACCCTCGAGAAGCTCCAGCTTTCTGTGTCTGAGGAGCTCCTTTGTTGGAAAGCCCTGGGAAAAACTCTCGGCCATGGCTGCAGCGCCGCGGATCTGAAAGGGGTCGCGCGCAAGAGCCCAAGACAGGGCAGTGGCGACACCCACAATGGCCGCGTAGATGGGCTGTCCACTCCGTAGGAAAATGAGGACTGAAAGCACATCCAAGCTGGGCTCAAAAAGCATCAAGAAGGCTGACAAGCGTAGTTCGCACTTTGCGCCTTCGAGATCCGAACTTATGGGAATGCAGCAAAACGGCATCTTGCAGTGCTTGGATTCAGCAAATGGTGACACAGCAGGGCCATCCTCATGGAAACCATCGCTCCATGGCCCCTGCACCTCCGATACCGATACCTGCGACCCTGACTCACAGCTGGAGACCAAGCTACTCCCATCGTCTTGACCTTCTGGAGCCTCCCAAACCTTCTTGAGAGCCCAGAAACCATCCGCACTGAAGTCTGCAGCTTCTGCGTCAGAGTTTTCAAGGTCTTGCTCTTCCGGCTTGCTTCCGCTCACCCACAGATAACGAACCAACGCAATGCCGCTGACGCTTCCGTACATCAAAGCTGCCAAGTACATATGCCAGGGCTGCGGCATCCAGGACAAAGCGCACGCGGCGGTTTCTGACTTCCAGCACATGATGAAGGCATCTTGCACTGTGGAATTCGTGAGCCTCAAGCTCAGCCAATGCACTGGGCTGAAGGCATACGGTAATGCGCTTCCTGGGCCCAGGCTTAAGTGACACCATGTGACACAATCTTGGGCCACCGAGCTATTGGCAACAACATCTGTGGGTATAATGTTCGCGCAAATCTGTGGTATCTCGGAGTGGTTGTGGAGTCGCCTCTCGAAGGAATGGGCGTCACATACCCGCACTTCGCCTGGAGATATGTATCCATCAAGGAGGGGTGTGCCCCATTTCAGGCAGGAGCACACCAAGAACGAGGCCAGCAGAATGAAGATACAAGAGCTCCAACCAAGAAGCGAGGGGCTTGCCATGCTGTCCACGGATTCACCGTCGTTACCCAATGGCACATGGGTACTTAATTAAGAGGATGATCTGGTTGTTGAAGCTGATTGTACGAAAGGTTATGGGTATGGGAAGAAATTCCATGCCATGCCATACCTGAACTGAAGCTGCCACTAACCTGGGTAGCTTGGTAACTCACAGAGGCAATACACGAGAATGGTCAGATCACAACTAGATCTAGTCCAGAATCTGGAAAATATGCGGATCTTATGATGATATTGGGCAATTCCATATTCCATCTACTTGAGGGGGACTGTAAGTACATTCTATGATTCGGAAGCCCACATGAATGCACGAGCAAACCTCGCATGCGCTAGAAGCCAGCAAAGCTGCAAGTGCACCCAATGTAACCCCCTCTCCCTTGATTATAAACCCCAGACCCGTAAGAATGAACCCCCCAATATAGTACCCGTGTACCTCGGGGGGATTATGATTACTTTTGTTACTATTATCACTATCATTAGGGGAGTAGCAAGTCCTGGCATGCACGGCGGAGGGGATCTTTTTAGCCCACACCCCCACCAAAACCATGTCTTCGGTCCTCTGGTCACAGCATCTTTCCTGAAGCCTGAACCTCAAATCCTGCATTACCGCCCAAGACGGAACAGGCACCCGTAACTCACACTAGATCCTCAAGAATACTACAATCAGAGTTAGGAGAGGAGAAGCATACTCACAAGGATATTGATAAGAAGAGGCTTCATAACAATATTAAGACAAATGGAAAAACACAACATCGCAGAAGTTCTCCCCTGGGCTGTCCTCCAGCAGCTCCCGCCAGGGCTGCCCACTGGCCAGTGCAGCCAGGAAGGCTTCCGTGGCAGCAGCTGCATGACTCGGGGACCTTTGCATACCCGCCCTTGGCCTGTTCGGGATGTTAGGGACCCTGAAGGCTACTTGCACCTTACATCCTTTGCACATGAGCTGTTCTATAGATTGCTAGTGCTGTCTGCCTTGCAAAACTTGGGGAGTATGAAGTTGCACAGCTAGCTCGCACTGAATGAAGAGTCCGTGGCAGCCTGTGATGCCAAACCTGAAATCCTGCACCACGAATGTACACGCCTCGATCAGCCCGCAGCTGAGATCTCATACGCAGCATTAAAAAAGAAACATTATCCGACAGCTCATGGTAGATCAGGGCTGTATATTTGAACTATTTGTATGTAGTATTCTGCTGCGTTGGTCCATGGCTAGATGAGCTATAATCTAAACTCCTAGTACCCCCCTTAGTAACCCCTATAGTAGTCCCTATTGTAATCCCCTATATAACCCCCTTTAAGGAGTTTAGACTATAGCTCAGATCTCCAGAATACGCTGTTCTGCATACAAGCGACAATGGCAGGAGCTCTGCGCACACCCTGCAAACGGCCTTAATGATTTCAATATGTCCTAACGGAGGCTCGTATACCAAGTGGACTCATGGAATGGGGCTAGCAGCCTTTGAATGCTCTGATCGTGTCAATTTGACGCCATCCGGCTCCCTCCTACATCCGCACACTTCATCATTCAAGGCGCCATGGCTACATTTGCCTGAACTGTTCTGTACCCATCTGTATTGACCGACTGCAGCTCACAAGCCAAAGCAATCGTCTTGCGCTCAAGGTGACCCAAATATGCCTGCTAACAGCATGCACTGAAGCACCCGCAGGCATGAATCACCTGTTGTCACATGCCTCACCTACTACATCCCTGACACAGGCACACGGAAGAATTTGCCTGTGTAGTTGCGCCTGTCTTTCCACAGAATATACTTTCGTGTGTCAAAGGGTCTTCAAGCCCAGGGTCCAGCCACATGTCGAGAGCCTCTGCATGCCGCCTTTCTTCCTGCATTCCATGGGAAAGCTCTGAGCGCAACCCGGCAGAAAAGCACACTCAAACAAGGTAGCACGCGGGCTCGTAGGCCCTGCGTTTTTTCAAAGTTTCTTGCTGCAGAAACTAGGAAAATTGCTTAAAACTTGGGTTTCGCGCACATGTGAAAGCTTCGCGCAGAGTCTGAAGCGGCCAAAACCCCTGAGACGCGGGTTTTTTTCAGGAAACGGTGCTGGCACTGTGGCGAAACTGCCCATCCAGAAGGGCTGATTTTGCAAACTTTGCTTGACACGTGATATGTCAAGCTCAGGAACACGAACGGAATTATGGTTTGGGCATGGATGCTCTGATCATCGTATGCTCTTGGAACACGAACGGAATATGGTTTGGGCATGGATGCTCTGGTCATCGTATGCTCTTGGAACAGGAACGTTATTACGGTTTGGGCATGGATGCTCTGATCATCGTATGCTCTTGGAATGGTTTGGGCATGGATGCTCTGATCATCGTATGCTGTTGGAACAGGAACGTTATTGTGGTTTTGGCATGGATGCTCTGGTCATCATATGCTCTTGGAACACGAACTGAATTATGGTTTGGGCATGCATGCTCTGGTCGTCGTATGCTCTTGGAACAGGAACGTTATTACGGTTTGGGCATGGATGTTCTGGTCATCGTATGCTCTGCGGGCGGCTCCACATGGCGGCAACGGGTTTCCCCTGCGCACCGACCCTGGAGCCTCACCAGCTGCAAAGGAATCTTGTTGGAACCACCGAACGCAGGGTCCACGAGGCTGCGTCCCACCTCAAACAAAGGGGTTCAACATGTAGACTATGTCCTCGGGCTTCTGAAGAGGCAGCTTAATTAGTGGTTGAGTGTCTCCCCATGTTCACAGAAACACATTGGGGTTCTGAGGTTTTTCGGGCCACATTCAATTGGCCAAAGCAACAGATTCAATGACTTTCTCAAGTTTACTTGACCTGAGGTGAATGGTCTCAGGTCCCCGCAACAAAACTGCTGGACTTGACTGAATCTACAGGCACAGGTAGAAGATTGCCTAACTGCGCATAGCCCTGGCTACCGTCTGAAGCAAAAAGTCCATGGTGAGCTGGGCTAGAAGCATGGGAGTACCTCAATAGATCATGTACCGGAGTTTCCCAGTATCCCAGGCGCTCGGCATTTCTGCGGAATTGTGGAGGGCCGCATCAAAGTCTAAAGTCTACATGCCCTCGACGTGTGGGGTTGGCTCCCAGGCCGCTCATGATGCAGAAGGCATACCCCATATAAGTCTTCATTTCGGGAAGAAGGTTCTTTGCAGACCTAGACATATATACACACACATATGTATATGTATATATATATATATTTATATGTATATGCGCAGGGGTTTGGGGATGAGGGTTTCGAGTACAATAACTACGCATGATAATCTTTCGGAGGGTGTAAAAGTGATCTTTTTCCCCTACTGTCTGTCTGCCTTCGCCTTCAAGCATTTCAGGATGTGAAGTTCTGGAAAATGGACTCGAATTTCCATATTTCCACGTCCTCTAATATTCCGCATAGAGGTGTTGGCCGAGTTGGGATTCATATTGACCTTGCTAACTATGCGAACCCCCAAAGACTGTGACTTTGAGCCGCCCAATTTCGCTGCCCATTTTCACACCGAGATATCCCTCTAAATATCTGGGGCTCCTACTGGAACAGAAACCCTCCCAGTTAGGAACACCGAGAGGCCTGCAAGCCAAAGGCCAACTCCCAAGCCGGCGCCACCCACAAGGAGCCCAGCAGAAGGTCGCGCAGAGCCTGAAGTGTAGGGCGGGTTTTGGAATTTCGGGTGCCGAAGCAAAGAGCAAGGAAAATCGGAGAGACGGGCTTCAACATGCGCACAGAGAGGGTTGGAGGGCTAGGACTGAGTTTAGGGAGAAGGACACACCCAAGCAGCAGCGGCCTGCCCTGTGCTTATTGGAAATTCATATGCTGGGTAGTTGCTTCGTGCTCCCTAAGCACTCTCTGATCCATGCTCCGGGAATCCCGCATTCTTGCCAAGCCCTAGAACAAGCCACATTCACAAATCAGTGCCACCGTGAAAGTACTGGCTATTCATGGTCCTACCGGTAGAACCTGGAGTGATACTGTCAAGGAGTCCATATGGCGAAGCGCGTACGCACATACCGGGACGTCATAGGGATTATCGTCCTCCTTAAGTGATAGAATGAAGGAGAAACTACTGCACTATTGGGATCGTCTAGCCTTACAGGTTTGAGGGCTATGATTTATGCTCCACAGGTTGATAGGCTGCTTGAGCCACTCTCTGGATGGAAAACTTTGCGAGATCCCAAAATAGACCAAAATAGACTGGACTCCTTTTTAGCGGGACCCCACAAAGGGACCTCTTTTGTCACTTGGTCCTCTACGCGGACAAAGCTGCCACTAAGACCTGTCGCAGCGTAGATCAGATTGTAGCGTTCTAAAAGGAATCTAGCTGTGCGGGGGCCTAATGCTCAAAAGATGCCACAAATCTTGAGGCAACGCCAAAGACTCTCCATACTCTGGAAAGCAAAAGCCACCAAAGTTCCAGCGCCGTTGCTGAGGCAAGCACGGTGAAGGCACCAGGTGAGCTGGAGTTTGGGTAGCCGACAGCATTCCGGTAGCCTCAGCTTGTCTCACTGGTGCTTAAGGCGGAGTGGGGGGTGCTGAATTTAAGTGCTGTAATGGCATCCACTCCCCTGCGCTCCTTGGAGACCCAGCTATGTAAGTAAAGCTGACAAGACGGGTTTGTTGCGGGTGCGGATGTGTAAGGTTGAGGGACTGGGGGCTGGTGCTTGGGGTTTAGGGGTGCCAGGGTGCCTTAAGCCTGGAGAGTACCATACTCTAGGGTTTATAGATATGATATTTGGTTCAGGATCCGTGAAGGGGATGATACAGGGTTTTGCAGGCACTTCAGGGACTTTAAGCTCCGTGTATCGGCTCGCGGGATCATTTCTAGAGGTCCTTTTTCATATGTATATATATATATACATATATATGGTCATCCCCCCCCCAGGACCTTCCTACGTAATCCATTTTTTCTAACCAAAAGGTTGGTCCTGGGGGGGGGGGGCTAGCATATGCATATATATATATACACATAATCCCAAGGTGTCCCCGCATACTAGAGGCCTAGGATTCCAACCTCATGCTTTGGGCGTCTGACACTTGGGAACCACCAATCTAGAAGGGTTTTCCCCATAAGCTTTGCACGAATTCATGTTGGGAACCACCATGTCTGGCAGGCAGGCAAGGGTTGGATTTAGGGCTAGAATAGCCTGCCGCGCCCTCAAAACCGAAGTAGAAAACAGCCTCATGTGCATCTGGAGAACTCTGAGCCTCCTTCTGGAAATCTTCCTCCTTGGCGATTAGCAGATGATGTTGGGTAGCGCTTCTTTCAGGGTCAGGGTATCTGGGACTTGCGCGGCGATGAACAGGATGAAACAAGGTCAGCACGGCTGTCGCATGACAGTTGCTGGCCGCCCTGACTGGGAACCAAGATAATCGCAATCTACGCTTGACGAAGACTGAGGGAGGCTAGCCATCGTGCTGTCAGCTTTCTTGAAATCCGACTTTCAACAATTCGTAGCCTTGTAAGTTGGACTCGGGCACTTGCTACATGTATATGGTATCCTGTGCAGTGGGGGTTCTCTTATGCTCCGGATGCTACGGTGATGTGATCATGTTGGACTGCCAGTTTTGAAGAGCTTGGTGCTGCCACGTTTCTGTTGCAGTTTGCAGAAACCCGCTGAGCGCGCTTGCAGTAAGCCTCTCTGCCTCCGCAACGATCTCCCTCAGCTCCTGCGAAACAACTCCCACAGCATCCACAAATAAGTAATAGTGGTATAGTAGGACTATAAGAGGACCCTCATAAAATCCCTATTATCCCTTATAGTCACTATTACTGGGTGGGGGGTCCACCTAAGATCTCTTCAACGTTGGACACGACTTCAATAACGAGATCTCAGTCCAAGTCGCTTAGGCAATCTTCCCAACCCTTCCTGACCTGCCTGTTAACACATCTTTTCGGTGGGCCCCTTACGCCTGCTTCCTTCTGCGCCTAACGCCATCCCTGCCTTCTTTATCAGCACCTTCTCACCACTTTGGGGAGAGGGGTTTATTATAGGGGTTATCATAAGGGTGTATTATATGGGGTTATTATATAGGGTTATGCTAGTTCCTGGTCGGAATGGTTTTGCTCTGTGCCTGTGGGGTTGGCAAAACTTAAAACATCTATATTTTTCTCCTCCTCCGAGCAGGCACCCTCCTTTCGGCGCCGCTCAAAGCGGCGCCAGAGCGAGCGAGCGGCTTTTCCGGCCTTCCCAGAGTCATGTGGGTATGTCTCAGGCCAGGGGGCCACTTATATGAATAAATGCTGGTATGTGTCACTGCGGGATCCTGTGACAAACTCGAATCTAGACTCTAGAATCTAGACTTACTCAGCCTTTGGGTCCTGTCTTTTACTTAGTCCAAGTACGAGTCGAGCGCAAGGTGGACTGGTGTTTCGGTGGAGGGCTTTTGCAGGATACTCTCCAAATCCTCCAAACTTACCCAGAAGAGCCAAATAGCTGTCTTATGCCATTTAGGTAGAGGGTAAAGGCTTCCGTGGTTAGGAGGACTGACAACATGTGTCCAGCCAAGCACGGGAAGGGAGGCAAGCTACATGAGTTCAACGTTGTGACTCAGATACGATTAAAAACGTGCATGAGTGACAGCAAAACGCTCGCAACCCTACCCCGGCCCTGAACCAATGCCTGTCTGGGGCTCTCATTTGTGGCCCCTGAGAAATCCCATAGTCATGTGGTCTCTGCTACATATGTTCGCATGGACTTCCAGAACACCTCCCTCATCACCCCTCTTTTTCTTCTATAAGTTGCAGGGCTGAACCTCCGGGTCGGCAGTCCAAACCTTCGATTCCAGAAGGCAGCGTCCACAATTGCACCTCGACTTGCATCCTTGTGAAAGCTTGAATCATGATTGCTACTAGTTACTAATAGTACTGTTACCATCATTATTGTTGCAATTCTTGCGGAATCTGAGAAAAAACCTGCAAGTGCCTTTTCAGGGAAACAATGTCTTGGCAGGCATTAAGGGAAGGGCTCCCTGATGGTGTTGGGAATCCACTGCCAATCCCAATCCCTATATAATCCTTGTAATTTCCATTTCTTTTCCGTTATACCCATATAACTCCTACATAACCCTATATACTATAGTGACCCTATAACTCCGAAATAAGCCCCCTCGATCCACTCTCCTGTCCTGAGCCCAAACCCGTCGCCCCCAAACCGTGAACCCTCATTGCTATCCTGAACCCAACCCAACAGTCCTCTGCTTCAGCAAAGCAGCTCAAAGCCCCAGGTAGATTCCAGCTCGGCCCGACGGACGAAGTGTGGAGCCCGGACCTGAGTCAGCACATCAGGTTCCTTTATAGTCCCCTCAAGTAAATAGAAAATGGGGTATATGGGGAAATACCCAAAGCCATATTCTATCTACTTAAGGGGGACTATAGGTTCTTGAACTTGCAGGGGGTTAGCAGGGAACAAGGTAATATATTATTATGCAGGGATTATATAGGGGTTACAGTCCCTTATTCCTTACTAACCACCAGAAGGTGAAGGCTTTGGCCACTTGCTCTCCGGCTTGAGTTTGTTAGGTTCATGCGCTGGGGTTTTTCACTGCTTGCATTAAAGAGTGCTTAGGCTGTTGGTTATTATTCTGGGGACCCCCAGAAAGTACCTGTCGTTTTGGGAAACTCCTACCTACCAGCTAAGCCAAACATCATGCCTCGTGTAGTGTAAGAGGGGGCTGGCTTTCAACCGCTTGTTCTCGCACAAGACTGGGAGGCGCGCCACTGTTCAACACTACAGATACAAAGGAGAGGCCTCCCCAAAACGATCACCAAGAATGGAGCCCCTACAAGTTAGAAACTCGGGGGACTCTACAGCACCGCAACTGCGGCGCTAATTTGGTAGGACTAGAAACGCAAAACTAAACATGCCCGTACCCGTCTTAGAGCCACAGGAGGTCGAATGAAGGCCTCTAGGCACTGGAGCAAGAAAAACAATAATTGGCAAATATATATGTATCTATATATATACATATGTGTGTGTATGTATGTATGTATGTATGTATGTACATGTATATATGAAACCAATGTCATGGTTCCTCGTAACTTAAATGCAATGCTTTTCAGAGGAATAGCCCACCTCGATGTAAGTGCAGGTCAGCTCATCTTCAGGTCTGAGTGCTCGTGCTGCTCGCACTACCAGGCATGCTGGGAACGGAAGCCTTGCCAAGGGAATGAAGGACTGTCGCTTCAACAGTAAGATATTTTGGGGTTGTATAGGGATCATGGAAAATAAAATGGAAACTACTATTTAGGGTTTGGGGTTTAAGGTTAAACGTTCAAGGGTAAGGAATATGGGATTATGCTCTATGGGGATTAAAGAGGGATCGTATTCCCTGATTAACAGCTTCAGCGCTGCCAAACAGTCATAATGCAAAGCCTGCCTGTTGACGTTGGGCAGGCAAGAGTGGTTCAGCAAACTGCCATTTGGATAGACCGCCAGGCCATGTCGTGGCTGCGCTTCCACAGTCTTCAGCGCTGAGGGTTTGACGACGAGCCTCAGCACTGCCATTCCGTTGAAGGCAGCTACGCCGCGGAGCCTTGGAATGCCTGGAGCATTGCCACATGGAGGCCGCCAGTCACACAATGATGTGGGTTCCTCGCAGCTCTTCTCCGGCGTGCTGGCACTTCTCCAGCGAAGTGATAGGAGCTTTGCGCGGCTGAGGGCCGAAAGGCGGCTCCAGTCATGCTGTGCTGTGGCAGCAAACTCCTCCCCGCTCGCCTCAGATGATGCATCCGCAGGGGCTTCCTAAAATCAAGCAATCTCACTGGCTGAGCAGTAGCCTCAGACCTGGGATTGGGAGCCTTTGCTATTCAAGAAGAATCACGACTCTGTCCCAGTGGGGGAATTGAAGGAGAGAAGAACAACATGCCCATTCTGCGCGCAGTGACAGAACAGATTGCCGCGGCTTCCGGGCAGCCCGCACTTTGAAAAGAACTAGAACTCTGAATACCTATAGTTTCCATTTGACATTCCATTATCCCAATATAACCCCAAGATACTATAGTATTCCAAACCTACCCAGTATAATGCCAACATACAAGGGCAGCCTGGATGGGACCACCACCTGCACATTCTGCAATAGGGACACCTGCCATGTCCTCACATTCACTATGAAATCTCCCCTTGGGTCTACATAAGGTGCAGGAAGAAGACACGCGGCTCAGGCAGGCAAGCTTGCTCCGCTAGCACCTGACAAAGTGATTGCAAAACCGAAGGTGCAAAATTATGGGCCGGCCAAAGCCCTTGTAAAGACCTTTGATTTTCATTACTTTTGGTCAGGTGTTGCAAATTTGGGAGTCAGGCGTCGACTGCCGTGGGCTCGTTGATTCAAAAAGGTTTGGGAGGATAAGTTGCCAAAGTCTAGTGACACTGCAGCCTCACCTCTTAAGAAACCAGAGGCTTTGGGCGCCCATAGAACTGGTTGGCGGCCCCAGAATGCGGGGTATGAGAGATCGAGGCTACATCCCAAGTTCAGAAGAACAACAGAGGTCTGACCAACCGCAGCATCACAAACCCTGGCGCACTGACAGGCTGAAAATCGGGGGACCCCAATATAGACCACAAATACTACAGTCCATATTAAGGGGGCCCCCAAAAGGTACCCCATGTACCCTTAATTTTGGGCAACCCAAGAGTCTGCTTGCACTTGAATTGTTGCTGACCACTCTACTATGACCACCATTGTTACTCATCATTATCATCATTCTTCTGTTAGTTTTACTACTACAGATTGCTATAGATGCAGATTCTGATCCTCTCCCGTATAGGCACGTCAAAAATTGGATTCAAGCTTGCATCTCTTCCACCTCCCTGGAAGTCTGCAAAGTATGCACAGAGGGCACGCACAGAGGGAAGCTTGTCACGGGATGGATAGTTCACCAGACTGGATGTGTGCTGGCACGCGCATTCCACAAAGTCACAAAACACACAACAGCCTAAAATGTGAGAAGAGGTTTGGGGACAGCTTTCTGAAAATGTGCACCCTTTAGCCTGTTACTCAAACTTCTTTAAACGGCCACTAACAAACCATATGCAGCTCAGGCGCAACGGAGCCAGCACTTGCTTCCGCACCTCGTAGCCCACGTCCATGCTCTCCAGCCTGGAAAACCTCCAGGTCCTCGCCGAGCAAAGGGGCTATACAAGGATTCAGGAGTAACGTAGAAAGGTGAAGGGGTCAAGCTGGGAGCCTCTCAAACACGCGGGTCCATTGTTGGGGTTCCCTGCTCTAAAAACAGAACACTATCTTCATGGCGCCTCGTGCGAGCGACTGCTACAGGAATTAAAACTCTCTACTCTGAGATATAGGATCTCTCATGCATCATCAGGGTTGCTGTTAAGGAATTTAATTTAAGTTCCTTAACAGCAACCCAGTCATGTTCTTCCAATGAAAAATCGCTTCCTAGCTGGAGATGTTCGAAGCTCAGGGATGCTGGAGGCTTGTCGAGTTTCAGCTACCTCAGTATTTGGGGGTTTCCCAAAATTAAGGGGGTACCCTTTTTTGGGGGTTCCTTTAGTAAGGATTACAATATATTGGGGTCTATATTGGGTGCCCCTGTTTTGGGAAACTACCATTTGGTGCTTGCTTCTCTACTGCGAACATATAAGAAATCTCAGAGACTATGACTAGCAAGTGCCTAGAGGCCTACGTCTGCCTCTTCGTGGCTGTTGGCATCAGGTGCAGCTCATGCGTCAGCAACCAAGGTCTTTTAGGTTTGGGTGTAGACTTCTGTTTGGTGACCTCCCATCCCTCAACTCCAAGCAAAACCCTTCTGAATATTGAGGTTCTCAAAGAAGGGGGTTGGATGTAAGGGTTTAGGTTGGGTACTGCCCCCCTCTCAGTAACAGTTGGATAATAAGTATAATATGGCTATATATAGCCCTTAATAGGGCCCCTAATATAGACTGTTACTGGGTGGGGGCAGTACGCAAGGCTTAGGGTTCTGCGTCGAGGTCCTCGCCAATCTCCTCACAGCCCTCCGAAGCATCAAGCAAGTGAAGGCCGAAGGGATCCACTGCCATAGGCTGCTAGAAGGGACCACACTAGGATTTAGGGCTTAGGGTCGAAAAGTCAGGCCGAAATGGTGGTGTCCGTAAATTGGGGGACCCCAACATAGACTCCAAAATAATATACTCCGTATTGTTTTTCCTCCAAAGTCTGGGACATCTTCGAATAAGGCTTTGGGATGGGTGGCTCTACTATCACTCACCAACTCTCAGGCCGCTCAGTTGCAGGATACTACCAACGGTCATGCTCGGGGCTTCAGCGAGCTCTTTCCGCCAGAAAAGTCGCAAGATGCTGGATCTCCTCGGTGAGCTGTAAATGAATCAAATAGGGTTTAGGGTTCATATAGGGTTTAGGGTTTAGGGTTTTAAGGTCTGCGTAGTCTTCAAATCCGAAGCCTCGCTTTGGAGGCCGAAGCACAAATGGCTGAAGCGCGGTGGAGAAGGAAGAAGCGCATGGCATGAAGGCATGAAGCACACTAGAAACAGCTTTTGACAAAGCTTCTCCTTGCACACCAGGCAGGCATGTTAGCAAACACTTGTGTAATCGAATGACTCTGAAGCACTGTCAGCGTTCATCTTGTTGTAACATGGACACTTTCCTACCCAGATTCCAGAACGCTTTCCATCCTCAAGCAGGACCGCGCTCATCATAGACAATCTCACCAGGATACCCCTGTTGCTCCAAACCCTTGCATCTTACCGGCGGTTGACAGGACATGCAGGAATGCATCTTTCTAGGACCTATCGTGGTCCCAATGCAATTCGCGATCGAATCCATGATTACCGCCTCTGTCCTCCATATTCCATTCTTCCCTACTAAGTAATAGGACTAGATTTCAAGGGATGTAGAAGTTCCCGCTATTTTTGTAATTCCTCCAACCCCTGCAAGTTCACCAGCAAGGTAAAAGAAACCGGGATCATCGACAGCCAGGGCCGCGGCGGCCCAGAGGTGGGGTCTCCCTGGCATGCCAAAGCTCTAAGGGATTGAGGCTCTGAATGACCTGTCTAATGTAGACCCGTGATTAATAAACCTGCTCCTCTTAAGGGCCTAAATATTTGAATCCCTAATATAATCCCTATTAAGGGGAGGGGTTTATTGATCAGGGGTCTACATTATGTCTATAATGCTGTCTAAGGCATGGGGGGGACAAGCCCATCCGGAAGCTCGCATCCAAGACAGAGCAAGAGCCATTGCGATTAATGCGCGGCGTACAAAAGGCAGGCAGGCATCACCCATAGTAACAATAATAATAAGAATCGTAGTAAGGATAGTTTTAAACATACGAATAGCAATAGTAATAATGATTATAGGAATGATATGATAGTGAAAGTAGTATCTTCTTCCAGGGCTAGCTTGCTCTTTCCTTCCTAGCTTGCTCTTTCCTTAATTCTTTAACGCACAGCATGATTGCTCAGAATAAGGTCTTCCCAAAAACGTCCCGAAGCCCTCTGCTTCCCAATGCGACGACACCAAGACAAGAGACCAATAAGTTTCCGCGGAAGACCCCGGTCTCTCTACAACGCCGCAAAGTTCACCATATTCTTGCTCTAAACTCATACATGATCCTTTTTCTGGTTTTACCTGTCTCTTCGCCATTTCAATTAAAAACAAATCCAAACCATAATTCCCAGCTCAGCCTGCCTCCGCGCATAGCTCAGTTAGATCCAGGCGCTCCAGCAGCCGCTGACGGACCTCAGGAAGATTATTGAAACTAGGAGTTGCGTAAGAATGTGGAGTTCGGGCAGGTTTATGCAGGGTCTGCATACAGTTTGTATGACCGCTTCGGGCCTTAGAGGCTTCGAGCTCATGTTCACTGATGTTGCCGGCACGCTTTGTCCAAATCTGCAGGAAATGTGACGGCAGATAGGATTAGATAGAGTGCGGAGGTTCACCCCGACCTTGGTACAAAACCATGTGCTCCAGGAGAACTGTTGGCTGCTTTGTGTCACGGATGTTGGTGGTGTGCTGTGGGCTCTGTTGGGCTTGTTTGGACCCATTCCCTGTTTTGGAGCGTATAGCGCTGCGTAAGGTTTGGTGAAGATGCTTGTAGGTTGCTGGCTTGTAGGATTCGGGGCTCTTTCAATCCTGCTATGCCTAAACCTGCCGGTTGTACGAAAACAGAAATGCCCCTTTTGGGTCACTCTTCATGTAGA